AGAAGCAATGTCGCAGAAGCGACTGTTTGTTCGCAAATGCGAAAATTGGTGGGCAGAAGGTATAATTTAAGGGTTTAAGTTAATTTCATTATTTTGGGTTTTGGAGCTCGTCTAGAGGCAATTTTGGGGAGAAATTCATCACCACTTTGAGGGTAAATGATTTTTACTTAATTTTCATACTATATATTATTTTCTCATGGATTTTTACTCATAGATTATTGTCACACCCCAACCTTGGGAGGTACGACCTGTACACAATTCCTAAAGGCCCATGCGAACCAACGTCTTTTCTTATATTCTTTTTATTCATTAATCCGGCCATTGAGGCCTCCAAGTGATAATACCATAATTAACATGTGTGCAACTGATTAACAAAAGAAACATTTGCATTTTTATACATGACCATTACTGTCACCAACATCGTCATACCCGACAATTACATACAACGAAATACTAACACTAGTTTGCAAGCCTCTAAGAGTACCAAAAGAGATATACATATTACACAATTTGGTACAGACATGGCCCCACCGTACCCAAAATGTTTATGACATCAACTTCAGTACCTATGGACTTCTGAACATCAACTCTGAAGGAGTGGAGAGCAACAACCAAGTCAGCTGGAACAACACCCTACTGGGGAGGAACGTAACCAGGTCTATCTGCACCTGTGGGCATAAACACAGCGCCCAAAAGGGAAATGCGTTAGTATGGAAAATGTACTGAGTATGTAAGGCTAAACATATAAATCAAAGATATAACATAAGAGATATGAGTACGTAATCCCTTCCTGAACACCGAGGTCAAGCCACCTGGCGTAAACCAAACTGTGATGATTATGAACAATGAATCATAAATGTATATGAATCTTGTGAACCTAAGCCACCCATTGGGTCTATGCATTAGTTTATGCTATACATAGTTATACATATCTTCAGCCCTTCCTATGGGCACAGTTTATCACTCCACACCCGATCTCATAGAGGACTAGGTCGCACCCGGCCATAGGAGGGCTCGGTAACCTCACTTCACACATCATTGTACCTGGACACACAAGGGCTCGATCATACCCATCCACAAAAGGGCTCGATAATGTCTCACAACCCAATGTTCCATACCCGGCCTCATAGAGAGCTTGGTCGTACCTGGCCACACAAGGGCTTGGCAATATTTTTCATCACACCCAACTGATCAGTGGTTACACAATATGTGCCGTAGCTAGCCAACTATAGCGCGACTAGGTAAAATAAGATAGATACGTATATATGTATGAGTGTGATGAAATGTCAATTTCAAGGATATCAACTTTAGACCCAGCATGAATCAAGCCCTCCGACCTCAGGATACCAACTAGAACATTTTAGACTTTACCAGAAATCTACCGGCAAGAATGTACAATGACAGAACAACATCATTTTAGAAGGGCGAAGAACTACCAAACCTAACAGTGCAGGAATTATTTAGAAGGAATGAGGAACTTACACTAACACATGCCAAGAAAGATAGTCGCCCTACATACCTTGTGGAAGAGCTAACTAGGATTCTATGATTGTTAACTCTGCCTCTAACGAATCTTCACAATTATCACCACTAGATGACAGATGTTACAACCATCGATTCTTAGTTTCTTTAAGCTAAATCTTGACATAACCATCTTCTAATTCAATTTAAGCTATTTTGGAACTTTAAAGGAGATGTGAGAACGTTTTTGGTGAATTATAGTGAGTGATACTCTTGGAAAAAAATGAAAGGATGTGAGCCTTACTAATTTTATATATGGGTACCAATCATAGGAATCTCCCCCGGGTCCACATGCAAAATAGGTCACCTCGCTTTGGCTGTCGTGCCCGATGAGACATCTGGCAAAATCTGGTCGCATGCAGTTGCCTCCTCTACCCGGTAACGCATCACCATCTGATTGGCCGCGCTAAAAGCCTCACTTACCAAGCTTTATTTAGGTTAGGGGCGTAGAATCATCCCCCATTTCGGAACATTCATCCTCGAATGATGAATTGCGCCAATAGTGATGGTCTCATTATTGCCACCCACCATAAGGAATAAGTGGGGGGTACCTAAATTTCATATCTTCTTCAGCTTTCCATGTCGTTTCTTCTTTACTTTTATTCCTCCAAAGTACTTTGACTAAATCCACTTCTTTAGTTTGCAGCTTTCGAACTTGACGATCTAGAATAGCCACCAGAACTTCTTCATAGGATAGATCTTCTGTGACTTGAATATCTTCAATAGTGGTGATACAAGACGGATTGCTCAAGCACTTTCGGAGCATAGACACGTGGAATACCGGATGCACTACTTCCAGTTCATGTGGAAACTAGAGCTTATAAGCAACTTGGCCGGCCCTCTGAATAATTCAGTATGGTCCAATATATCAGGGGATGAGTTTTACTCTTTTACCAAATCTCATCACGCATTTCATAGATGACACCTTCAAGAACACCCAGTCTCCTACAACGAACTCCAATTTTCACTGTCGGTTATCCTGCTCTGAGTGATCAACAATCGATTTCGAATTGTTTTCACTTTTTCCACAGCCTGTTGCACTAAGTCAGGACCCAATAACTTCATTTCACCCACTTCGAACTAGCCTATAGGAGATCTGCACTTTCGGCCATATATGGCTACATATGATGCCATTTGAATGCTGGCATGATAGCTGTTGTTGTAAGAAAATTTGATAAGTGGTAGATGATCCTCCCAACTTCCCTTGTAGTCCAACACATAGGCTCGTAACATGTCCTCGAGTATTTGAATAGTGCACTCGGCCTCATCATCTATTAAAACGGTGCTAAGGTTAATCCTTGTGCCCAATCTTTTTTGGAATGATCTATTTCCTTAATGTACAACTTAACTTAATCTTCAGCCGAGAAAGTAGTCTTTACTGGTAGGAAATGAATTGATTTAGTGAGGCAGTCTACGATGACCCATATGGAATCAGATCTTTCGCGCGATCGCGGCAGTCCTGTAAAGAAATCCATATTGATTACTTTCCATTTACAAGTTGGAATCTCTATGTTTTATAGCAACCCTCCCGGTTTCTGGTGTTCAGCCTTAACTTATTGGCAATTTGAAAATCAAGCGACGTATACATCAATGTCCCTCTTCATTCCGTTCCACCAGTATGGCTGTCGAAGATCATGATACATCTTGGTTGAGCCTAAATGAACAGAATACCAGGACCAATAAATCTTCGTCATAATCTGCTCTCGGAGTCCCCTGACATCAACTACACTTATCCGGTCCTGGTATCTAAGGACCACGTCTTAGGATAACTCGAACACTTGCTTCTTTTGAAAGGGGATGCTTCCTCTTATATTTACCAAGACTGGGTTGTGAAATTATCGTGCCTTTACTTCATCTACGAATGAAGACTCAACAATATTCGAATTGTGGCTCCGCTGTCACTGGTATCAAGCAATCATACAACCAACTGGTACAAGTCTTTAGTTATTTCTAACTTATGCCTTTCCACATGTTGTACTGCCCATGGATTTCCGACTTAACACATTAACTACTACATTGGCCTTCCTGGGGTGGTACAAAATATTCACATCGTAGTCTTTCAATAACTCAAGCCACCTTCGTTGCCTCAAATTCAACTCTTTTTGCTTGAATATGTGCTGCTAGATCTAGTGATCAGTGAATATGTCGGCACGAACTTCGTACAGATAGTGACACCATATCTTTAGAGTGAAAATGACAGCTGCTAGCTCCAAATCATAGAGCAGATAATTTTGTTCATATTTCCGCAGCTTCCTTGAAGCATATGCAATAACTTTCCCATGTTGCATTAGTATACTACCTAAGCCCACTCTAGAGGCATCACAATATATGACATATCCCTCGGGTCACTCAGGTAGAGTTAAAACTGGTGCCAAGGTTAGCCTGTCCTTTAACTCCTGAAAGCTCTTCTCACAATAATTGGTCCACCGAAATTGAACTGCCTTATGTGTCAACTTTGTAAGTGGAACAGCTATGGATGAAAAATTCTCCACAAACCTTCGGTAGTAATCAGCCAAGCCTAGGAAGTGGCATACTTTGGTAGGGGTTATGGGCCTTGGCCAATTCTTAACTACTTCAACCGTTTGCCTATCGACCTTGATACCTTCACCGGATACTATGTGCCCAAGGAAGGCCACTGAGTTCAACCAGAACTCGCACTTGGAAAACATGGCGTATAACTTGTGATCCCGAAGTGTATGTAGGACCTTTCGCAAATGCTTTGCCTACTCTACTTCCGATCGCGAGTACACCAAAATATCATCAATGAACACGATCACAAAGATATCCAAGAATGTCTTGAATACTCGATTCATCCGATCCCTGAAGGCTGCTGGTGCGCTAGTTAGCCAAAAGACATGACAAGTAACTCATAATGGCCATATCTGGTCCAAAAGGCTATCTTCGGAACATCTTCTTCCTTTATTCCTAGCTGATGATGCCCAGATTTGAGGTCAATCTTTGAAAAATGCTTAGCGCATTGCAATTGATCAAGCAAATCATCGATCCTTGGAAGTGGATACTTGTTCTTGATGGTCACCTTATTCAGCTGTCGATAGTCAATACACATCCTTAACGAACCATCTTTCTTTCTAACAAATAGTATTGGGGCTCCCCACGGGGAAGTACTAGGTCGAACAAAGCCCTTATCGAGAAGGTCTTTCAGTTGATTTTTCAATTCCTTCAACTCAGGAAGATCCATCTTGTATAGGGGAATAAATATCGGTTGCATGTCAGGTGGCACATCGATGGCAAACTCAATCTCCCTCTCAAGTGGGACACCCGGGAGCTCATCCGGGAACACATCAAGAAATTCACTTACGACCGGAACCGACTGTAAGGTAGGTGGCTTGGCCTCCGTGTCATGCACTCCTACCAAATAGTAAAACACCCTTTTGTGATCATCCTTCGAGCCTTAAAGTAAGAAATAAATTTCCCTTTTGGCGTTGTAACGTCGCCCTTCCATTCGATAATGGGCTCTCCTGGAAAGTTAAAACAAACAACTTTCTTCCAACACTCCATTGTAGCATAACAAGAGGCCATCCAATCCATTCCCATGATAATATCAAATTATACCATTTCTAATTCATTCAAATCAGCTAAGGTATGGCGATCTTGAATCATTACCTTACAACCTCGATACGCCCACCAGCATGGTCACTTCGAAGGATTGTCGTAGCTAAGAACTAAATGGAGTAATATAGGACAGGGTAGAACCTGGATCTATCAAAGAATACACATTAATGGAAGACACGAACATTATACCTATGACCACATCTGGTGAAGACTCCAAGTTCTGACGACCTGACAATGCATAGATGCGATTCTGCAGTTGCCCACCAGGGATAGACATGGGCACTCCACCTCTACCAATACCGCTTCCTATCGGTGGTCATATACCCTTCTCACGAGGATGCATTGTCGATGAAGAAGCTGTTATAGACCCCGTTGGTGGTATTACGCCACCCATATTTCTCACTGGGAAAAAGCGCATGATGTGACCAGGTTTCCAACAAGAATAACACAAATCTGAGACCTGGCGGTAATGCCTAAAATGATTCCTACCACATCAGCCAAAATGTGGCATCGGGGGTCTCATTCTGATAGTATCCCCGCTATTCTGTGAACTCTGTGCTCGGAAGTTCCGAACCTGACTAGAATAAGTGGTCTAGTCTCGATACTGGCCCTGAGGCTGTGATGGCACGTTAGCCAATGAATTAGGTGACTGCCAAGGAAATGGCGGCCTAAACTCGCCTCGAAACTCTCCCGTATCTCCCGTGGACCAAGACCTCTTAGATTGACCCTGGTCGAGTTCTCGAGTAGCTTGTTGTAGTCTCTTACGATCCTCTAAGTTCTGTGCATAGGCCTGAATACGGGCCATATCCATAATCGGATTCAGGGAAGCTGTGATATACTCATTTATCAGATGTGGCCCCAAGTTGGCCACAAACTGATGTACCCGGTCACTCATCTCGGCCACCACCGATAAAGCATACCTAGCCAAGGAGTTAAATTACATGCTGTACTCTCGGACACTCATATTATCTTGCTCCAATCATAAGAATTTGTCTTGACTAGCTCGGCGGAGTTTAACGAGCATATACTGCTTCAAAAATGACTCCGAAAATTCCCTCCATCCTGTTGCTGGGACAAGAGGTCCCCTAGACTGTTCTCAAGCCTCATACCACACCACAACTATATCCCTCAACCAATAAGAGGCAAGCTCTACAGACTCAGTATGTGTGGCATGCATCACTCGTAAAGTCCGCTGCATTTGGTCTAAGAAGTTCTGAGGATCTTTGTTTGGATATATTCCTGTGAATACTGGGGGCTCAAAATTTATGAAATCTCGAACTCTTGTACTGACTACCTTATCTGAACTGGCAGGAGCCTGACGTTGGGCCTGAGAGGCCACAAACTGAGTTAAATACTGCAATGCACTTCTCATATCTAGATCATGTTCAGGCTCAACCAGGGAGGAACATGAGGTACATTAGCTGACCCTAAAGCTTGAGTTCTAGCCTTATCAGGGAGTCTATGTTGACCCATCGGGGCAGGCGGCACGTGGCTGGTTCCTTCTCCTGTTTCTTCATTCAATCCCTGCATAATTGCCTGACGTCTCATGGTAGGCATCACTATAAATATAAATAGGATGAGAATTAGAAGTGAATACTTATGACTTCAGCTCTATCTGTCACGCCCCAAAACCGAGAAGCGCGACCGGCGCTCAACCGAGTGAACCCGACCGAGCAAGCTTGTTAGATTTCCTTCTACCCAAACTCATCCACGAATGAAGATAATACATATTTTCATTAATTAGACAAAAATGTGTTCATGTTCACAATACCAATTCATTACCAACAGTTCAATCGTTTTTAGTCGTCTTAACTAGAACAAGTAATACAACCATAACATAACGTAGTTTGTCTTTCCCAGCACTAATACACAACCCACACTATGTCTACGGAGCCTCTATAGATAAAGAAGAGTATAATGATAATACCGGCAACAAGGCCCCGGCTATACCTCAAACCTAATACGTAAAGTACAAAAGATACATGACCCCGGAATGAAGTGGGGCTCACCGAGTTAGCTGGGAAGAAGGTGTACGGCTATCACTGATCAATATCTCCTGCTGTGGAACCACCTGTATCCATTTAAAGATGCAGTGCCCCCGGCAAAAGAGACGTTAGTACCGTCGAATAGCACTAATATGTATAACTAAATAGTCCCTCAATAGAATGACAAATAATACAAACAAGATTATCATAATATCAATGAAAGTCTTAATTTAGGATCAGGACAGTGTTCAAATTAATTCTCATATCTCACATTGGGAGATTTTTAGTATCGATATACCATTATTCACAAAACCAGTACCATCGTACTCTTAGCACGGAGTCCGATCACGACCCGATCGGCTAGGCCATCTCATTAGAGACATCAACCATAATTTCTCTAAATATCAATACCACCGTCTTTTACACGGAGTCCTATCAAGACCCGATCGGCTAGGCTATCCATTAGGGACATCGACCACAATCACAATTTCAAATTATAAATTTCCAGCACAATCACCACCATGTGTGCGGCATGGTGTCCGATTACGACCCGACTGGCTAGGCTATCTTATTTGAGACATCAACCTTTTTATATCAATCATCCCATTTCGTATTACTTTCACATATTTTCATCTCATTGGCACTAATGGCCATAATTATAAGATCATTCTTGGCA